GCCCATGGCTCTGTGTACTGATCGGATGATTCAATCCAGAGTCCCAATTCTGAACGAGCGAACTGATGAACGATCATTTCATTGTTTGATTCCGACTCACGCAAGATACAAATTGTCTCATATCGCCACTGCCGCCCATTTTCAGAGAAAGAAGCTCACTATCTGGAACTGTGGGTCGGACTTCCGTCGGTTTTTGCCATTCGGCCCGGGGCTCGACATCTGCCAGCACCCCGGCGTGTGTGACACATCTCTGACAGCGAGCTAACTAGAACGGAAAGCTCAAAAGGACCGGCGAGACAGTTGCTGATAGGGAGCGGCGAGTTCAGGCGCGCACTACACATTACGACCCGCGCATCTGGGTGCAGTTTACCACGTGATTCGGCTGGTAAACCCGACCGTCTCGTATAACTCGGCAATGTTATCCACTGTACACATATCCTATTTAAAACCCTTCAGACTACGCCTAGCTCTGATACCTCTCTGGGGTCACCGCTGATGTGTCTCCCGTGGTATATCCCTGACACGTCCTCTCACAATGCTCTCACCTCTCCCCCGCACGAGGCCGCTCCGTGGTGGAGGCCGCGCTTCTCACCTCTCTCACTTGTTCACGGCAGATGTAATTGGCTCTCACCTGTGAGCACGTCGCTGGAGCAGCAGACTCGCGGACCGGGCGGCGGCCGAACCCAGTCTGAGCAGCATCGTTCCGGCGGTGGCGGCGGTCCCGACAGCCGCTCCTGCGCGAGCGAGCTCCTCCCCAGCCTCAGAGGGCGCCACTGAGCTGTCGCCGGCGGCGGTCACAGAGCGAGCTCACGGTGTGGTGGCAGGAGGCCAAAATTATCCGCCTCTCCGTCCCGGTCTGCCCAATTTACCGGTAAACGGAGACAGCTCGGAGACGGAATCGGTTCGAGATGTGTGGGAGACGGAGGCAGGAAACAGAAACGGTCAGAGTATTTGGAAAAAACGACTCAGGCAATCGAGCTGGCAGCGAGTGGTCGGGGAGTCGCTCCGGCAACAGAAGTATGCTTTACACATCTTTTTTTTTGTGTGAAAATGAATAGAAAACGGAACGGCATGGCCGGGAGGTCTTTTTAACCCTGAAAGGAACCTCGTCACCAGGTGATATCACCTCGTTTTCTGACGGCCGCCGCCGCTGTGCCGTCCCTTCAATATGGTAAGTGGGACTGTTGGGAGCGTGCAGCTTGCTGAAGGCTGAAGCCACTGCAGTCGCCCAGTCACGGCAACATGCAGAACCTGGTTATTACTGCCGTGATGTGGATGATTTGTTTGCTTCACCGCTTCACCCAGGGGTAGGGACCGGCGGGCTCAAGGCTAAATCTGTGATTACAGGGGCATTCCATGTCAACCGGGACAGCCAAAATCGGCCACCTCTGCGATTTTGTTCAAACTTGGTATACTTATTGGCTATTGGGTGAAACCTCTGAGGGTGAAAGGATTTTGTCATATGCCCTCGGGCTACAGAGAAACAAGTCGCTAAACTTCTGCTTTTTGAGCAGAATTGGACGTGTATTGCAATCTTGAAAGATCTATAGCTTCAACATTTTTGAAGCTATTAATTTCAAACAAACTGAAACGTGTGCATAAGGAGTTATGCTAGTAAAAATTGACAATTTTTACATTTTTTGGTGATTTTGAATTTATATTATTTTGAATTAATTTCTTAAAATGTAATTTGTGAAAAATGGGTACCCTTCGATTTTGCTCAAATTTAGATATTGTCTTCCACTAGATGTAAGGCACACGTGCTGAGAAAATTAGAGTGGGCCAACGATAACTTTGGATGATATAGCAACACGTAGTGCAACGTAGCACGGGCGGTGGAAGGGGCCGATTTCGCTAACTCCACCTGTTTATCGCCAATAACTCACGCCAAAATTATTATATTAACGTTTAACTTACAGTATCTGTCCAGAATCGAATTGCAAATCCTCCCGTGCAAGAAATAGGTAAATCGGTCCACAACTTTTCTAGTAATAGCGGTGTAAAGTCAAACATTCCTGCCGGAGCGGCTCGGCGGCCGGCGCCGGCCGTTGCCTCCTGAATGGTAGACTGTGCCGGCGCAGGACGGTTCCATCTTTGCACCGCGCTTCTTACCGCTGATTATGATCGATTCGTGTCAAATTTTGTGTGAAGGGTTAAAAATGTACAGGCAATCTAATATTCAAATAAATACGAATATCAACTGGTAAAATTAATTTTTTAGGGTGCAAACACAATATGTGACTATGACATTTCCCGCGTCGGCCGATCCCCGCCTCTGCCGGCGACATCTTACTCTTAGCAAGCCACTATAACTGCCAAATTTATGGTAAGATTAACTAGAGATTCTCATAACACTACAAATGTCGTATAAGGGAAGAAATAGGAAAATCGGCCTGTATCTCTTAGATCTATGGGCGTATAAACGCAAAATAGTATAGCAAATTTGATCACGTTTAACCTCATTTGATCTTGAATATATTGATCTAGGGCCATGAACTTATCACACGATAAAGTTCCCCACCGCCCCACCTACAATTCAAATTCCGTTTTTTTTAATACCTTTTTTGACTAAACCGGGCTTTTCTCCCCTAGCGCTGGGAGAGTCGGGCGTATTTTCTTTTTGCAACCAAAGAGAGGCGCTGGCTGGAGAATGCCCAATTTCATCATAAAAACTGGCTTACGATGACCAGCTATCTTCGTGGCTTAGTAGTAAGTGTGCCGAAGGTACCCACCTCGTAATCTAAAGGTCGCTGGCTCGCAGTGGGTCAGCCTGAAGTGTTTAACACGCATTTGTTTTTTAAGTAGCATCTGGCCAGCCGGCAACTGTCGCGAGGGCTAATGTTCGTATCTATGTAGTATGTAGGTAGCATTTGGCCAGTCGGCAACTGCCTTGAGGGCTGTACATATTTACGCGTGTTAGATTAGGTCAGGTCACGTCAGGTCAGGTTAGGTTTGCTTTGGTTTGGGGTAGAAAGAAGCATCTCCGGGTAGCGCCTCTCCTTGGTTGTTAAAACGAAACACGCGAGTGCCAGACATTACGAAGTCCAAAAGACAGTTATGTAGACGTCGGCCCATTCTGGATTTTTTATATGATGTAGCTAATGTATAGGAGAATAAAATATGTAAAAATCAGCAAAATCGAAGGGTACCCATTTTTCAGAAAATCAAAATTTATTTTTTGAATTTTAATTAAGTTCACTAATTAGTTAATTACGTCAATATTGTTATCCTCAAATTAAAGCCTGACCTATTCCCTCCATTTCACACTTTGTCTCGTGGTGATGTGTCTAAAACTTCAATGGTTATGACGCTTTAAAGATGATAATGTACCTTGCCTAAGTCAATGTTTGATGACGTGTATCTCGGAAACGTGACGTCATATTTTGACAAAAATATGTCTCCTTTCTTTTCACATATAGATGAGTAGTTTCACAAAGTTTCGCAAAAATCGGAGGAGGTGAGGTTCAAAATGATCATTTTTTGTCCCACTTGACGTGGAATGCCCCTACAACAGCACGAACGGCGTCAGCGATAATACATCCAATCGGGTGGATGCTGCGTTTGCGGGAAAATCGGAATAACAGCGCAGGATATTCACACGCACGTAACGACCTTTGCATTGCGGGTAGTCGCGATCAGCTTTTACATAGAAGGTTGTGGGAAGACTGTGTGATCGGATATGACATGATACGGTGCGACTGAATCCGTCGCGGAATACGACGCTAACTTCACGGACGTCGGTGCGGAACGAATACTAACAACCTAGCTATTCGCCCACCACTGAGATATAGGCAGCTGGAATATGACAGCCTGTATCTCTGCAGCTCTTATATGTTCAGTAAGTATTGCCTGCTTAAACGTCATATACCTAGATGTTTAGCACACTTAATTCAGGGCTCGATGATCCCTTGGTCGGTAAAGTTTGAACATCCCAAACCGATCATAGCATTTCATCCTGGAACAGGGGCGGTTCTCCCATATAGGCAAGGTAGGCAGTGCCTACGTCATTTGCCGTCTCCCCTGCGTCTACACCCTCACTAGACTGTGGCTTTTGATTGCTCTGTTGCTTTTGTTAAATATATATTTTCTTTTCGTCTTCAAAATGTGTTGAAACGAAAGATAATTGCCTATACTTTTCAAAAAACGTCACACAAATATCGTATTATACATCAACTTGATTAAAACCTTTGCCTAATTGTGCCTACCTCGTCCTACTAGATTATCGACTATTGCCATGTTGAGGCTATTGAGCCTTTTGGTAGAAAAGGTCTAGATGGTCGGCACATCGACTAGGTGCTACCTTCTAACTTTCAAACTGAACTTTTTATTTAGTCCATTTATCATAAAATAAAACACATTTTACGCTATCAATTTTCATCATTAGTTTAGGGTACCTAGCGTTGTTATGCTTGTTGTGTTATTCTATTGTTTCTTAAAAATTATATTGGACGAACTAGACTCCTACTTGGAGACTAGCTTCCCTCTGGCGGCAGACGTGTAAGCTTAAGTTAGGTTTTCATAGATGACGCTGCTTGAGCTGACTGAGCAATAAGGCTGTCTTTTCCCCCTTTTACCTATTCCGTATTAAGCTTTTCTGCCTTACCTACCAAGTGCCTACCTACTTTCAAAGGGTCAGCGCCGCCCCTGTCCTGGAACCGTTTATCGCATGTGATCATTCCTCCGGCCAGCCATGAGCCGACTACTCATCCCTCTTTCGTTCACCTTCGGTCCGTGGTGGAAGGGATCACGCCAAAAGGGAGGTGTTCAATGAGGCGTGCTGAAATCCGACCGGCGGTCACGACGGTAGCATCAAACAGTCCAAGTTAGAACCGCGTTCGACAGAAAAAGGCCGAGTTTTTGCTATGGGTAGCCGGTAGGGTGGTAGGATTAGCATGGAATCCAAACGAGGGATGCTACAATAATATGATGAAGGACGCGCACCGGCGAGGGTTTAGGAAGCGAAACAACATTCAAGACCTTGCACAGAAACATACCACACAGCTGGTATAAGTAATTTATTTACCTGGGCGCAGTGAGCTATGCTTCATACAACAGCACCAACCGTGTGCAAACAACATGTAACGCTGATCTTTGCGACATTTGATCTCGCATATAGTACATCTCGAAATGGACACATCGTTCGTTTTAACTATTATGAATAATTAACACCACAATAATCGTTTAAGGCGTCGATAGGGACGGAGTCGATCTACCGTGTTATTGTCTTTCGATTGCCGTTGATCACAGCCCAGGCGTGGTTACTGTTTCAAACGTCGTAAGTACGAACGCCGCGAATGGTGACAGTCTGAACAGATTGGTGTGCTTGAGCCAACTGGGATGACTAGTGATCGACCACCGGCGGGCGGCGACTAGCAGTTTATCGTTAAGGTGCGCAACATGCGGTTCAACCACCTACTCGTGTATGAATTCCAACCTGAATTCAAACGCTCGATTAATATAACGTGTTAAATAGGGAAAAATAAATAAAGCGAGTCTCAGTAAACCAGAGCAGTAGTGCTTCAACACATTTAACTGTGGGACGAGACATTATGACTAAAATCACGTTAACATAAACATAAGCAACATAAACTGTAATTTGTTTGGAAATATCATCGCGACTACAACTGAGTTGGATTACTGACCCACGAGTGGACTACTGACCTAACATTTCCCTAGACGACAAATATGTCCGCTATGACTAAATATGACTAATCACATCATTCCTGTGAGCTGACAGCGCGATTACACGCTGATCCACCTACTCAGCACATACCACCGTGGACCGATCCACACCGGTTTCCACACTCGGCTCCACATCCACACGGCACGTCAGGGCCTATTTTAACATGTTAACTGGGGTGGCAAAACCCACCCCAGTGGTGCGGTTTTCCACCCCAGTCGTCTTACTTTGCCACCCCAGTGAAAAACAGCCCAAACTTCTACCCACAGATATTAGCTGCCGACAATCACGGAGGCGACACATTCTTGAGGCGCAACTCAGGTTGACAGGGGAAAAGGGCTCACTGAGGCGCCACCACCACCAATGGGGTGCCCTCTCACTACTGGGGGCGCCCTGCCGCAACTGTGGCGCCCTACTTTGATTGGGACACATTACCGGTAATAGGGCACCCTACCATGACTGAAGAGCCCTATCAACATTGGGGCGCCCAGACACGATTGGGGCGCCAACCACCTTTGGGCGCCCTATCAGAAATGGGACACTGTTTGTTTGTTTTGTTGGGTTAGGCCCTTTCGGTCCAATGAGACCATTTCAGAGCCGGAAGGCTGATAGGACATAGGGGGAGACACATGGTCTGGGCAGGCACCCTATAGTGAGTCGCCGGGGCTGAGCCCGTCCAGAGGACAGGCCTCCCAGCCCCAAGGCACTCACTGCACCCGGCTACGGGGTGCGCTCCCTCGGTAGCAGCGGTGCCGCTCCAAGGGAGCAGCCTGCATGAGATAAAATTGCCTGTCCAGCCCGGAGGGGGGTTGCGGCGTGGAGGAGAAGGATTTCTGTATCCTGAGGATAGAAGCACGGAACGGTGATGGGACACCGTACCACTACTGGGGCGTCGTAACACATAATGTGACGTTCCGCTGGTGCTGGGGCGCCCTAAGTTTCTGGTGCACCCCACCGCCACGAGGCACCCTACCACCACTGCACAGTGGGCGATCCGGCCGGTGTAGCCTCGCGAAACCTATCGACATTCATAACATCCATGTTTTTGAAGCTAGAACTACAATATTTAGGAGCAACCTACTTGAATATCTAATGAGCATATATTTCAGATAAGAACTATCATTTTCAAGATTTGTGTTGGCTCCTATGGCACTTAGAAACGCCAAATTTACAGAGTAGGTGGATCCATAGGAGATCTCGCCCCTGTAAAAGTTTGGTGACTCTAAGTCAAGATTTAGGGGGGTTTTGGGGGATATGAGTGCAAAAAATTTGCTAAAACATGTCAAAAGTTTTTCGCTTATAACTTTTTACCTAAAAAAGATAGAGCAAAAATAAACGCACCAGTGAACTCAGGACGTCCGTGCGCATCGAATGGTATACTTTGTTGCCAATTTAAGCGAACTCTGGAATTCAGTTGCCGCTAAGCTAGTCCAATTTTCCCCTGACCTTGTACCGGTTTTTGTGACCTGGTGACCTGACCTGAAAAGACTGGGACTTCAAATTTTCAAGAAAGGTGCGAAAATGTTGCCCCAGAGGGTATGCCAAATTTGACGGCACCATGCGCCGCCGTTTTTACGTTATTTGCGAAAAACCTTAGGGGGGTTGCATCAACCCCCCCCCCTCGCCGGGCGAGGGTTAATGCCAAAATCAAAGGGGGAACGGTGCCCAGGTTCCCCCCCCCCCGTTCCGCCGCCTATGAACTAGCTACAACACTGGTTAGCAATGCATCTTTCTTGGCATAGGTACAGACTACAGAGCCATAAGCGATTCAAAATCTGGACAGCGTCTCGGGGCAGTGGCGTGGCGAGATATTTATATTTATCTACAAGCAACAATGGGGTGAAGTTGGTTGAAAGTAAAATTGAAAGTTGGGGGGGGGGGGGGCGCCCACACAAGAGACAGGGGCGCCACCACTGCCTGGCCACCCCAGTCCAATTGTCTTAAAATAGGCCCTGCGGCACGTCCCAGCAGGGTATATAGAACGTCCGTCCCAGCCCAGCTCGGACAGCTCCCCGTTCTGCCTAGACGGTACCTACCTCGATAGCCGATTCCTGCTCCGAGTCTGCCCTCTCATGCAGTCAACGGTGATAATCAGAAGAGCCATGCCCTCTGCCTTCTCCAGAGGTTAGATTGACCCTTTCTGGACACCGCTGTGAGGAGAAGAGCGCCTTCCCGCCGAGGCAGACCGCTCCAGGAGCCAGCCGCCTACTTGGCGTTATTGGTCCAGTCGTAGGGGATGTAGTTGATCTTGAAGTTGCCGCTGTCCAGCATCTGCTTCAGCTGCTCAGCCTTCTTGCCAGTGAGATGCTTCAGCACCCACGTCAGAACCTGTGAGACGGGACCGGTCGGCATTAACTTTACACTCACGTCAGAACCTGGGGGGTGGGACGGGTCGGTAATCATGTTACACCTATGTCAGAGCCTGTGCAAGACGGGACGGAGTCAGCTCATAACCTAAACGTAAATAATTAGACGGATCGACAATTCAGGATTCAGGACAGCACGTAGAGGAGACGGGTCGGCAATTATGTCACAGCTTTCAGTTCTGGATCAGGAACAATGCGTGGAAAAAAGCCGACAATGAAGCAAAATATCGGTTGCCGCATCAGAATCCAGATCAGAACTTTGAGAGGAATTATTTACTCCCAAACGGAGCTTATTCGCTCGTCGCTCCAAAAGTACCATCTAAATGTCCCACCCGATTCCCGGATCGTGGGTAAATCTCCGCCGGCCTTCAGCGCACGCTCACCTCCTTGTCGTCCTCTCCGAAGTCGGAGCGGTACCACTTGAGCAGCGTGGAGAGGTGCACCACGCCCTTGGCCGGCTCCAGACGAATACCGTCGTCCGTCTCTAGGTAGGAGGCCGAGGCCAGGTCCAGCTCTGACTGGATGTTCTGAGACGCAACGAGACAGACATGGGAAGGGTCAGTAGGAGTATGTGTAGGAGACGAACACGTCAGTCCAGAGCTACAACAGGGTACAAACTGTACACAGTGCCGTTTCACTGTCAATGGTCTGCAAAATAATAAATTATATGGCACGATTAAGGAGACGGCGCATAACTGATTCAATGGATAGCTGTCTTCATTTCCATGTCGACAAGTTTAACATCTAACTCGCGACACGAATGATTTTAAAAAATCCTTAATTACTCACAACTAAACAAAGATACCGCCTAAATCCCAGCACCTTCTATGTCCTTCAACCTGCGCCCACCACTAGCGCCCACATCCCTTCGCCATCCTCACCTGGGCCGAGAAGGTCTTGATGGGCGGGCAGCTCTTGGCGCCGCAGTTTAGCGCAAAGTGGATCCTGGGCTCGGCGCGCTCCAGCGAGAGTCGCCGGCGCGGGTCGGCCTTGGAGAACTGGGGGCTGAGCGCGCCGACTCCCTTCTTGTTGGCGCGCAGCACGCCGTTCTCGATGTCCTGCAGCGTGAACGGACTGCCGCCCAGCACGTAGGCCGTGTTGTTGAAGAACTGCCGACCGGGCACGGGGAAAGTCAGTGGGGAGCCGGGAGGTCAGGCATGCCACGGGAGGTGAAAATATCCAAAGCTCGGTAAAAATGCCTAACTATGCACCAGGGTTGTGCTCGACTCAAAAAAATTTGCCGACTCGACTCATCATTTAACTTCAGAAAGCCCTGACTCAACTCTGACTCAAACAAGGAGCTGATTTTTCCCCTTGACTCAACTCATGACTCAAGCGGCTCAATGAAAATATGAGTTGACTCAAACTTGACTCAAATTTTTGTTGAGTCAAGTCAGTTGACTCAAAATTGACTCGGATAAAAAAGTTGTTGAGCGGGGGATGGGGGTGAAAAAAATCCTGCAGCAGGGCCAGGCCTAAGTTGTTAAGCAGGGGGAGAATGAAAAGCTTATGTAGATTGTTTCTAGATAGATGAGTCAGCTGACTCATGTTCCTAAATGTTTTTGACTCAACTCAATGTCAAAAGTTATTTTACTGACTCAACTCTGACTCAACTCAACGCCTTAATATTTTTGTCCGACTCAACTCTGACTCAACTCAACAGCTCAGCATTTTATCCGACTCGACTCAAATCTGACTCATTTGAGTCAGAGTTGAGTCAAATTTCTGACTCGACTCATGAGTCAAGCACAACCCTGCTATGCACACAGCTCAAGAATTGCTGGCTATCGCCCCACTACGATCTTCCTGCTCGCGCCCGGACGCACTATACCACCTCCGTAGCGTTACTCCTCACATAAATCCCAGCCCACACACACCCGCCCGATCAACCACCCCACCACAGTGGCCTCCCCGTCCTAATCTGCTCCGCCATGCCGCCTACCTTCCAGCGCTGCCACACGTTGGTCGGGTGGCCGGTGGCGATGTTGCCGTGCACAACCAGTGCGTTGTACACGTTGATAAAGAAGGCCAGCTTCTCCTCGCGGTTGAGGCCGAAGATGTCGACTCGCTGCAGCTCACGCGCCATCCGCACGTAGTTACGCCAGTTGTCTGAGGCCTTGATGCCGGCGTAGTTCACCGACTGGCCGCCAGGGGTGGTGGGAGGGGGAAATGGTAGTTGGTTAGTTGGCCGCCAGGGGACATCTCAACCTGCTTTCCGTAGGTTTGATCTGGGATGGTAATTTCATCCCGTTTAATATGAATGAACAATCGTAAGGCACTCGTTCTGCAATTCTGAATTTCTGAAATTCCGAACTCATTCTCCCGTGGCCCACCTTGCCGTCGGGACTGATGTTTTCGGCGTACATGGTGAGCATCAGTTTTCGGAGGTTCTCGGCCAGCTCTCCGGCCGGCAGCGGCGGGCAGCCGGCCGTCTCGCCAGAGTTCAGCGCGCCCTGGTTGTCGTCCTCGGTCATCCTAGGGATGAGAAAAACATCAGAGAAAGCCTAGGGAGACATTACGAAAAGATTTATCGGATTGTCTCCGGACCATAAATGCTAGGTGGAACCATCGATGAAGCACCGGACAGTTACGTAACGTGCGGTCAAACTGTGAAAGTGCACCACACTCCGAAAGTTCGTAATGTCTTCTCGGCGAGCGAGTTTGGACTGACCTGTAGAAGGCCTTGGCCGATCCCTCGAACTTGGTGCTGTCGGCTCCGCCCGAGACGTTCTGGATGAAGTGTTTGTCCATCAGCTGCTGGCCCATGTCCAGGGCATTCGCCTCGTCTGCGGTGACGCGGAAGGGAACCGGGATAATGACGAATCACATTACCATTTTTAAACGTCAATTTAAGTACAAAAATGGAAACAGAACAAGGCACAAAGACTTGGAACACTGAGCACATAAACCCGATCCATTTTCATTGGTGGCGGCTATATCATAAGTAGGGCGTGTGCATCGTCTCCTACAGAACTTTCAACACTGCTCAGTGCTCACACCGGAATTACCGAACCATCGACCATGCAAGGCGTTACCGGACAAACACAAAGAGCAATGCCGTCTATCGATTACAACTGCAACCTGGTTACCATAGCAACTGTGAGACTTCGGGGGGGGGGGGGGATCACCTTCACAACCACTACAAACACCGTCTCAATCATTAGCCCAGCGACAGACAGGGACAATCGGACATCATATCTCACCGCTCTCCTTCTCCTTGATCATCCAGTTGACGAAGGCCTCGCCGGAGAAGGAGTCCCTGATCTTGGTGAAGAGGCCGACGCGGTGGTCCATGATGAGGTTGGACCGGTCGTGCAGGTCGATGGCCAGACGGGACAGCTCGTCCTTCTCACACTCGACCGGCAGCACGGCCGCTGGCGGCGCACAAACATAATCGTCAGAGGGAAAGGGACAATGGCTTAGCGCCACGTGGACAGAATGACCGCTGGCCACGCACATATAGGGACCATTAAATATCAACACTGTTACAGGGGTGACAGAAATAAAGGGAACAATCAAAAGTCGACAGACTCTGTTTGAGCGACCGACCGATACCGCGGTTCATCATCAGGGGACTTGTGGGGCTAGGGAGGGGACAACAGTTACAACACACATGCAACGGCCGCGATCTGATCCAATAAGCCGGTTTATGATTCATACCTCGGTCGGTAGCCGTTCTGGCATTTTTACGTAAATAATTGGGGGTATACTTCATACGGAGCGGAGGCCACATTCAGCATCGATTGTTACGCCATGACAAAGGAGCGTCGAGACCTCAATCAAAACTTAACAAGCTCAGGGGTTTTGTCTTTCGCAGAAAAGCCGGAAGCCACTGCAGGACTACGAAAACTACCAAGACAATCTATATATGGCCTTGCCAAGACAATAGCTTTCCTCAGTTACCTTCTAGCGCCGTACTTACCAGGTGCCGATGTGGTGACGGCCTCCTCCGGTTTGGGAATTCGCGGCGCGCCGGCATCGCTCGGGTTGAGTTCGGTCTGCTCCAGAAGGGTGACGAGCTGCTCCCACTGACTCGCGTCGTCCACCTGTGTGGGCAAACAGGTGTAGGTGAATGTCACCCGGCACAACGGCGGATTTACTGATAATGGAACCCTCCGGTATTCAGTAGTCTGATCTAGTCATTCAGTAGTCAGGTACAGCATTGGCGATAGGCGATGTGACGATAAAATAATCGAATGATAAAAAAACGATTGGGGATTAGTGAAACTCCAAAACCTGTTTATCCTATTATGCTATTACATAATAGCCTTGCTATTATGTAATTGAATAAAGCAGCATTCGGCAACTTTCGCCGAATAATTCGACTCGACTGCGAGACACGGGAAGCAATCGTGACACTGATCCACGTGATTCCGGCAGCGGGCCTTTGCAAGTCATGTGGCCCAGGACACTTCAACTCGGGTTTCAAACGCACTTGACGCATCTCCCACTTCAAGACACTCGATGTCGCAGCCAGAAATCGATATCTAAGTAAGGGAATCTAGCCCATTTGAAACAGCCTTGGGATCGAACGTCGAGAGTGCAAGTGCGTTCGGGCACGTGAGTAGGTCAGTCACGGCCTTCGGGGTACGCGAACAGGTTAGTCACGGTGACTAGACGAGCGATGAGCGCCGCCCCACCGAAGACCAAAGTGCGCAATCCACGTGCCATGCGCACAGATAATGAACGCACATGATAATGACTCGCAGACGATAGACCAACCGTGAACTGTGAAGACAATCACTAGTACCTGCGCGAATGCGCTAGAAACAAGATAAAGGAAGCATGACAAAACAACTCCGACTTTCCCACTGGGGGAAATGCCAACCCGACAAACGTGACGTGCACGAATGGGAGGTGCCTTATTAATTGCACATTGCGCAGTAACTACCTTGCAACCGTGTTGGGTTTCTCCAAATGGCGTGTAGAAAGTTCGATGAGTCAAAAACACGGTTCATTGCGATGCCCTCACTTTCATTGGCGGTAATGCCTTCCAGATGTGGTAACGAATGACACCGGCAGTGCAGCGTATATGCATTATGCAACGCAACCAATACAATTTGCATCACAAATGCAAGTTCCCATTTGGAAACGGTAGCCGTATCCATTTGAGCAATTTAAGCTCTATGTTTGGGCAATGTGATACCAAATGAAAGCTAGTTCCCGGCGCCTTGCGGTGACCGCTGCATTTTGCAGCCCGTCCGTTGGGCGTTGACCTCGACCGCTGTCGATATCCGCTGAATGCAATAGGCCGATCACGGCACTAGCCGCTGCCCTCCGTCGGTAGCAGCCAGTCTAATAAGAGGCACACAAGGAAATGGAGCGCAGACGGACTGGGATATGTGGCCGACTGAGGAATAATGTCCCCTGGACATGATAATGTTACGCACACTCACTTTTTCTCGCATGCCACAAAATATCTTACCTTAGAGCAAAAAAGCAAAGAAACAAATAGAACGTACTTATGCATCAGCGAAGCTTAGTTGTCGACAAGCGTAAGGCGCTATCGTGATGCGCCATAACGACATACGTAATGCGCTACTGAATAATGCATTTACAACGCCCGCATACTGAACAAGTAAGCGATTTTCACCCCACACCTGGATCCCGGCCCGGCCAACTCACCAGGTCCTGCAGTTCGCTGTTGCCGCCGATGTGTCTGCTGTTGAAGAAGATCTGCGGCACACTGGTCTTGCCGGTCGTCTCTCGCAGCCAGGGCCGCAGATGGGGAAACCGCTCCAGGTCCACGTCCACGTACTGTAGGCCGCGCTGGGTCAGCGTGGCCTTGGCCGTGCGGCAGTGCGGGCACGCCGGTATAGAGTACACCACCACGGTACCTTTGATCATCATGGCTGCTGCGGCGGCGGCGGAGGCGAGGCGGAACAGCCTGCGGGCGGTCGGCGGCGCTGTGAGTCGGACGGGGACCGAGCGCGGACTGCCCGGCCGCCCGCCGCCGCCGCCGCCGCCGCCGGGGGCCGTCGTTATCAGGTCGATGGTCGGCGCGGCTCGCTGCGGCCGGTTGTGCGCCGTCATGCCGGGCGGCGCAGCGCTACCGCTGCCGGCAAGACGTGTCGATAAAGTGAGCCAATACCGGAAGGAGAGTTGGACGTCGGGACTCGGGGGAGAAGTTCGTAGCGTAGCCATCAGATAACCGGTTACAGGGGGAGTGGGTCAATTAAATTTCCATAAGCAGAACTGGAGATAACTTAGCATAAGAGACTGAGAAAAGTTAGTTGATGGAAACAAATATTTTATTTGAAGAAAAAAATAGACATTAATGCACCCCAACAGCCATTGCAGGTCAACCTTTTTGTGATGTCTCTTCAGTCTCATCAGAGCCACAGTGAAGACTGAAGAGATCCAGGTTGGCTCCCCAAAGCCACTGTGCATGGACTGCAGATGGCCAGTGTAAAAGACACCAAATCACTCAATAAAGGTTAGCTATTTTATTCTATAGAAAGCAGCCTATGATCACAAGTTTGACGGTCTGGTTCTGGTTCTGCCTTGGCCTAGGCTGACTGGACTCGGCCTGGTATTTGTGCTCCTAAAGCATTACCGGATACACACACACATACAGCCAATGAACGGGATGAGTTCCAGATACAACGAACCAAAGGAAAAGTTATTGCCGTTCACATAACCAACAAACACTTTTTTCGCCAGTGCGCAGTGTCGAAATGCCAGAGAAAGGACTGACACACATCACTGTCTGGCGCTCGGTCATTGCTCGGACGCCCGCCGGCGGCTAGCCGACAGGGCATTTATAGCACTTATCCAACCGTTACACGCGATATCCCACAAACACTGTCAGCTAAACGATCCTCCCGGTCCATTTAACCATCACTGCATGAGCGAAAGACAACCGCAAGGCAGACCACGACACCAGTCACAGACAACGTTCACAGTGCACATCGCTAGAGTCAAGCACAGCTGGTGTGTGCCATCAAGGCGGTTTCACTAGCACACCGCGGGTGTCCATGGTCAGCTGTGCCGCCCAGCCGCGGAGTAGCGTCACAGAGCGGCCGGCTGCCGCTCGGCCAGCTGCAGCGCACACATAGCAGCCTCCAACTCCAGCTGGGCCAGCCGCCGTCTCCAGCGGCCGTACTCTGAGAGCGGCACGTGCACATCCCCGAGTCGGAGTGCGCGCCGCTCGGCACCACCACCAGTGCTGTCACCTATGTGCGCCTCGGCGAACTGCAGTTGTGCCAGCAGGGCGCGCCGCAGGTGCTGTGCGCCGGCGGCGCCCGGCTCCTGCCCCTGCTCCGGCTCCGGCTCCGGCCGCCGCTGCAGTTCCAGCGCTGACCCCAGAAGCCGCCGCAGATGGTGCAGCAGCAGCGCCATCTGCCGCTCCGTCCTGCTCCAGAGCGCGGCTGTCAGCGCGCCGGCGGCGGCCTCTCGGTTGTCGGCTTCCTCGGCCAGCAGCACCAGGCAGCCAAACAGCGGGTCACCTGGCTCGGCTCGAGTGAGCGCCGCCAGAACAGGTATGAAGGCATCCTGCTCGAGCCGCAGCCTGGCCGCCTGCAAGTGCAGATGGGCCGTCCGCGGCAGGCGGAGGCGCAGGGGCCGGCCCGACAGCGCCCACAGCGCCTGCACGTCGGCCTCCGCGTCCGGACCTGGACCGCTGAACAGGGAGTGTCGCCGCGCCAGCCGCTGGTCGGCGGTCAGCGTCACGCGGCCGGCCGGCAGCTGGTAGAAGCCGGCGGCGCTGGCCGGCCGCGGCTCCTCCGGACCGGAGGCCAGCGTCAGCATCAGCCGACAGCCCCCGCCGCAGACGGGCGGCTCGTCCAGCACCGCTATGAGGCGCACGGTCGCTCCGGGCGACAGGCGGCCGGCGGCCGGCGCCGGAGCGCTCAGCTCGAACGGCGCGGCCGCCAGGCGAGACTCGTACGCCACGGGCCCGTGCCACCCGCCGCAGGCCAGCAGATGCGGCAGTGCCACCTCTGTGGATGTTTCATTGGTCAAATCTGTGGCAACAAGCCAACGTTCCGAGACGAGCCTCTGCCAGGCGGTGCGGGCCACCAGGCCGGGCAGACGGGAGGCCGGCGCTGGTACAGCAGCCTCCACCGGCTGCAGTAGAGAGCGGACAGCTTCACGGAGCATGGTCCTCCGCTGGGCGACCTGCTGGCGCCGCCTCTTCACCAGCTGCGAGACGGCCTTGATTTTGCTGGCCAGTCCTTCCGAGCCCGATGAATAACATTCTTGTTCTATGCATAGTTCATTCATTTTGGCACTAAACAGAAAAAGAAAGATGATGTTGAGGTGCTGTATAAGCAAGCAGCCCCTGAAAAGTTCTTTTAAAATCATAACTTAATATTGCTGATAACAAATTGTTGTCATCTCTTAATGTGATTGACACTTAATGGGCCTGTTAC